CTTGCATGCTTTGGGCATGTTTCTACTGATATTTGCATCTGCTTTAGTGGTTCTATAAAATATATTTGCAATTAAAAATCTATACACTGTGAAGCTCTGGGTCCTATAAGAAGATTTTAACAAAATGCTTGTTGAAAAGGTGATGCCCTCAAATCAGTGTCACTACCAAGACGGATGAATTGCACGGCACTGTTCTTATGAGCAAACTTGGTCTGAAAATATGTTTTGCACTCATACAAAAAAAAAGCGTATAGGGCAGAGAAATGGCAGTACAATTATTATGTCCTACATTTTTTTGTCGTTATAGGATAGAAAGATGAAGCAAAATTTTATGGTAACAAAACCCAAAACTTTGGGACACAAAAGCGGACTCTGGTTTTTATTACCATGAATCACGACATCTAGCCTGTTTTTAAGTATTGTTTTGGTTACGCAAAACTTGTTCCGACAAACATCTGTACAAAAGCTATATACAAGAGAATGTGACAAGGGGCCAGTAAACGTTTACGGACGAGACAAGTATAAAGAAGTAAACTTCAGATTGTGCGACATGCTTGCAAAGCGCATTTCTAGATTAACCCATTTTGCCGTCACTGTACTAAAAAAAAAAAAAACGGAAGTGGCGGCTTACTCGATCAAAGCCCATTAGGTAGGGATACTTTTCTTTTACATCGTCCATCCTCAAAGTGGTTAACTACACCAGCCTTGCTGCTGCTGTCAGATCCATCCTTTCCTTGATCTGGTTTTCATCGGGATGAAACTTCGTCACTTCGTGTTTGAGCCACTTCTCATGGGCTGCCAGGCTTGTCTCGTCTTCACCAGCAGCCAAAGCAGGAACGGTGATGTCCTAAATTGGATGTGGTTGAAGTAGAGTGCCACAAATAATGGTGTGCTCATACACAAGCTACCAACAAAACCCTTTATTAATTTGTTTCAAATGATATTGTTACTCCATGGGAACAAGATAGAACCTACACCTGCATTCCTTTCTACTTTTCAATGGAAAGATGTGTAAGTATAGCTTCCGACAGCCTTTCTTCACCTTTTATTGACCACGATGCACACGAGTAAAGCATAAATGCCTTCCTTAACCATACCGCCCAACTAGAGGCACAGCATGCCCAAAGCTGCGCACTATGACGTCGCGTTCTCTCGGTGCGATCTGGATAGCAGTCCTCAACTGTGAATATCAATAAATAAACTCCCTCGGGCTTGGCTTTCGACAGTCCTTGTAAAACTAGGTCTACTGGGTGGTGTGAAAATCCACGATTGCATAGTTGAAGACAATAAAATTCAATACAAAAAGGCGTATATTTTTCAGCGTCCTTCAAAGGATCCAAATGTGGGAGTTATTGTGGCATGGTTCGCTTGCCAGTACTGGAGAGAAAATATTATGATTGCGCATGATGACCTCTTTGAAACTACCCCACTTCTCTATGCTTCCTTGACTATTTCGATTAAATTGCTTAGCGGTAAATATATGTGATGGCTCGCACCAGGCACGTATCCGGGGGAGGGGGGGGGGGGGGGCGGTCCCCCTCTCCACCACCCCCCCCCCTTTCAAAGTTTTCTATTTTGCTGAGTTTGCTTAGGCCTCCTCTCCCCCATCCCCCCCTAGAGCATTTTGTCATGGGCGTCGCCGAATCAACATTTTAGCAACGTACCTGGCTTGCACCCATTTTTTGTTTGTTACTTACTGTAGGATTGAACTGTAAGCACAGTGTTAATGCAGAGTAAAAAATAGCAGCGTACTTTTGTTGGCTAGTGCCGATGATTGGACCAGTTGGTACACAATTATTAAAAAGAAGTTGTGAAGAATATGGGAGAGGATACGAACACAACACAGTGCTGTGTTCATCTCCTCCGTCTGTCTGTGCGATTCCCATTCTTTGTTTTTATAATAATAATTTTTTAATGATTTTTTGTTTGGTATCATCTGTATAGGAGTTCACTGTAACGACACACGTGACATTGCAGTCACTTTGGAGGCAGCTCCCCCTCTCTTATGGTGCCATAATTGAGAAAGCGCAGCGTGGGCGTCACTCTCAGTCTTGTGGAGCAGTTCCCCGGGTTCCCATAGGTTGCAAGCTGCCAGCCAAACTGAGTCAGGCCTGCCAGCTCTGCGGGAAAGGTCAATTTCATTCTTTTAGGAGTAGACACACATGTTTTGCGTGTACCTGAAACAACCCCTAACAGAGAGGAAACGTAGTAATTGGCCCTTTTTGAGTGCATGTTTTTATTTTGCTGAGAACATACATAAAATTCACACGCTATTGTACATTCAGTGGTCCGGGTTAATTTATGATGAGCCTTTTTTATATAACTTCGAGCCTTTAGAGAAAATATACAATATAATGGGTCGGACATAAATTGTTGCTATGAATTATCCTATACACTTACACATTACCTGATATCATAAAACGTATAGAGCAGGGATGGCTGCACTGTATCAACTACAATTTTATAACCAATTAAAAGTTAGCATTTTTTTCTATTGGCTATTATTCTTTGACAGAAAGAACAACTGGACGAGTTGATACGTTGGTAGTCTTTCAACTCCATCGAATATTCAGATTCTTTTCGCATTTCTTCATGCTTTTGCTTTTTCTAGCTGCTCTTTTGTAGCGGCTTTCGCCGCCACAAGAAAACGTGACATCCGAACTTACTTTATTTACATCACACAATCATGAACTTCGAAAGCGCGCCGCTTCGGCATACGCGAAGAGACCGCGCGGCTCTGGGGCACAGGCATAAGCATAGGCATGAAATCATGCTGCTCGCTCTTGTAACGTTTTTCTCGCTCCCGCTTTACAAAACGAATCGGTGGCGAGCGGCTGTTGAGACCACACGGCAGAACTAGCATGACGTGTGATTGCTTGGACTGCCGTCGTCAGACTGCACTTGAACGCTCCGCAAAAGCGTCGTCAGACGAACGTCGCAGAAAGGCGCCCAGAACAGTCTCTCGGTTCCGCCGCACGCGAATCTTTCTCACTCTTCGGAGCGAGCCATAGGTTTTAAAGAAGGTACGCTCTTTTCAAATAACGAATTAACACCGGCCAGAAGCATTGCTAGAATCAAGCACAGCTTAGCAAGCACAGGGTACACGACAAAGTTTGAAACAGCGGCGCACTTCGCAGAAACAAAATAGCTCACCGGCGCTTGCAGCAGTGTTCACGGGCTGTACGCCACTTCCGTTGGTAAGACGCAGCGTCTCTCAGCTCTCAGTCATCGCTTCCTATTTCTGAACACGGCATTCGCACGGAATATATCTAAAATATCTGCTAAAACGGCTAAAACGTAAAAAAAAAGAGAAAGCGATCCTTGAAGCCTGCGGAACCTCAACGGTCAGTTGGCAACGGCAGCCAAACGGAAGTTGATTGCAATAGCAATGGTGTTGAAAACGGTCGTAATCGTAAATTCAAAAATATTGACCGGAGTTAAACTTTATGTAAGAAAGATGAAAACGGTGGCAACGGCAACGGAAAAAATTGCGACAGTTTTTTTTTTTTTTTTTTCTTTTATTCAGGTGTAAATTTCGTTCGCGACTATTCTTAAAGAAAGGTCAGGTGCGCGAGCGCACATGTATCTTTGCTGTGGATGAGATACCGATTAGAAACGAGTGTGAGCAGATGTTGCAGGTGCAGTCGCCAGTGATAAGGCCGGGAGGGTGCGCAGCCTCGAAGCTCTATCAAAGAGTACGTAAGAGCCAGGACGAGGCATAGCGAATATACGCGACCTTCACTCCCTACTCGAGTCTGGAACTGCTGCTTAGTCAACACAGACTTTGGCGCCCATTTCAGGTCGGGTACGCGAGGCTCGGCCGCAGAAGCCTGGGGAATTGGTGTATAGTGGCTTGGCCCAATGTCACCAAGAACGTAAAATGCTTCACGCTTGGCATAGAATTCCTGTCGAAATTAGCGTTCCTCAACACCAGTTGGCCGGCCGAGCGGCAGTGATAACAACCGAAAAATTGTTCAAATGTCACACATGCGCACGGTGAGTGGACGATAGTTAGTTCTTTTTTTTTCTCGGTAAGATACCACTGAAGACAGTCCAAGCCGTGAAGTCACTTGTCCTTTCTCATTAGGCTGGGAACTGTACATAAGTAATTTTTTTTTTTTTTAGAGCTTTGAATTGCCGAACCAGAGCCATTATAACCATCGAGATTGCGCCCCATGCAACAGCTCATCTGCGCTTAGCTGGCCTGAAAGAATCAAGCAAAAGTTTACACAAGAAAAACTGGTCGACTTACGTCAACTCTGTCGTGTCTTCCGACATTCATCGAGTGAAAAATAAAGTGTGGTTTCTAGCATGCTGCGGAAAAGCGAAAACTCTGGACGCATTGTTGAGCTTAGGAAAAGCTGGCTGCACAACTTGGGTCGAGATGTTATTGTCCTTTGGTGTGTTCTTCAAGTCTCCGAGGTATGCGAATGTGAAAAGGCACAATCAGTTGTATTTTCGCTCTTTATTTCGGTTTATCACGAATAGCTTGGCTTTTTTTCAAGTCGGACGCCGATTGCAATTTTTGCTCAAAAGTGCGCCATTCCTGTGTTGAGTTCACTATTTTGGCCCCAAGAAACTTTATTATTATATTAAGGTCCTACACTACTTCAACTGTCCTGATGATGCACCGTGTGCATCGAATTGATCGAAGCATATTTAAATTAAACGCCAAATGTCAGCTTTTTGTTCCACGACACCGCAATTGACCATGTAAGCGCTGCTATTTGATGTGTTTTATTCGTGAAATGATTGAAGGAGCTACATTTGTTAGGCAGAGGTTTGGTTTAACTTATGTAAAACTAGAATTGAAAACAAAAGACCTTGTGTTTGGAGAGATGTTTTCGTGCCGGCTCTATTTGCACCTCTGTTCTTCGTTAAGGAGAACGTCTAATTATGAATTACATAATACTTTGTTTACAGCTCATATATTCACTTGAATTAATTCTAAAAAAGAATGACACAAGAGCGCAAGTGTGACAAATTGTGTTTCTTTCCAGACGGAAAGAATCCTCGATGCTCCAGAGAATTCTTAAGATGACCGGATTGCATCTACGCACTGGTTAGTTCTTTAAATTGCGCGAAACTGTTCGCGCGTTCACAACACTGAAAGGGTAAGGACAGTACTAAATTTCACTGCTTAGGTTAGAGCCCCAATTGAGCACCGCATACCTCAACAGGAGTTCTGGTGGCGGCGTTTTGATTCAAGAGAAAAACAGGACAAGCCGGTGATTGCTTGTTTTTGCTAGCCATACTAACAACTGTGGCCATTTGATAATAATAGTATTTATTTTTGCAGGCAGACTTCTTGGACCAAGAGCTGGCTGGACCTTGGTAGTCATTTCATATTGAGGAACGAGTTGCGGCGCCATTTGCAAACAAAAACATGGAGTCAACAAGGAGTGATATCAGTTTCTTTACGAGAGGACTATACACCGATGTGGAGTTTCTTGTTGGAAATTATTCCCACGTACCCAGAAGGATCAGGGCCCACAAGTTACTTCTTGCCATGCGAAACGAGGTTTTCGAAGTCATTTTCTATGGGGACTTACCAGAGGAAAATGAAATCCGCATCACTGACTTACACCCAGACGGATTTCTTGGTTTCCTCAGGTAAGTAGAGTTTGGTCTTTAGAAGTGTTATAAAGGTCGAAGCAGGTGGAGAAAAAGCTCGCGCTAAAGTCTAGGGATCCTGAGTTCAACCCCCACCCCTTCCTGTTTCGATATGGATGAGCATCGTAGCCGCGTGCGGTTGTTTATCAGTACTGCGAGATGCACCTTAAAGACCCCAAGCCGTACTGCACTGTCAAAATTTCTCATCCACAACACACATTTCAGACGACATGAAGCATGGTGTAAGGCGCAAACAACAACGACCACAACGAAAAAGACACACACCAGTACCAACTAGCCCAGCTCTCAAGTTTATGACGGAAAAAAACACACACACAGGTGCCTCGTAAAACCATACTTGAAGAGTGCAGAAAGGAAAGAAATACGCAACGTCACCTGCATCACGCCCACGCGTTCACTTAGCGGGGGAAAACACTATTCATCTCCAATTAAAAAAAAAAGCTTGTTTAGATTGTTTTTTCTTAGCATTATTTAGTGTAATAGATGCCTAACTTACGGATTGTGCGCGCCTGTTTTCTGATAAAGGATTCGTTTTTTTTTGTTATTTGCACCTTGCACCATGCTTATAACGTTCACCGACTATCCGCTGTATTTGCTTTTGCACCATTATTTCCAACCCAACTAAAAGCTTTTCCATCAGACCACCATTGGGGGTTACTGAATTCTCACTTGTATAAACACGCACGCAACAAAATTTATGACTTTGAGTAGGGTGATTATGCAAAGCTTTACAGAAGGAGGCCTCTCCTACGAGAAACGTGAAGCTGCACATTTAAATAAAAGGGTCCATACATTCCTCCATGGACGGAGGAACGATCTTGTAACCCACCCGGGGGGGGGGGGGGGAGGGGGAGGCATTGTAAAAACGTTTAATGATTATGCACCCACGTGGAATGCACGTGACCCTACCACACCCGAGTCGGGCGGTTGGTTGTATAGGATTTTACCGTATACCGTTGCGCTCGCTTCCGTCCGGTAGGGTTTATGTGAGCGAAGCCAAGGCGAGTCTGGCAAGACCGAAGCGGGGAGCAGACGACGGATCGCTATCAGCTCGTCGGGGTCCGTCTTGTGTCCGAAAGGTTCTACAAAACAAAAATTCGAGGAGCGGACGCGGTGCGCCATGTGCCAGCTCTGCTTGTATAGCACCGGAAACTGCTATCTTTCCGTCCTGGAGATTTAACGAGAGCAACGCGAAGGCAAGACCGGCGAGACGTGCGATACCCTGTTGGGCGGACGATGGACCACGTCTGGAGGACGGAGCCGAGCCCCTGAGCAGTTTGAGTAGACGAAAGTGTGTGGCGTTGCCGAGATCAAGATGGGGCTTCGCAGTGCGAACGGCTGCAGAAACCTTCCAAAGGGAATTTCTTGGCAGGGAGGTTGCGCAGTGCCCACACTCTTTCGGTGTGGCAGTCACACGTTTTTGGATATCTTGTGGAGGGTTCATTAATTTGTTGGCCAGGAGCGCCTCAGAATTTGATGGTACATTAAGAGCGGTATTGAGCCAATACTTGTGTTATTTATAAAAAAAAAAGTTTAATACGCCATACATCATGATAAGTTAGATTTGACTTGGGCGTTCCTTGCTTTCTGATAAACGTGCTATGTTGTCAAGGCTATGGCGTAGCTTCCACAATGCCACGCACTGCTGCGAGGGCACGTGCACTCCACTTCCTCTTGCATCCACACGCGCTCCTGCAAGTATAGCTTTGACAGCGTTGGAGCACTGCGGAAGCTACGATAGCCCGGAGAACGTAGCACAAGACACTTGACGCCGAGTATAGAACCTTTTGCTTCTAATGTATAGCTTTGCCCTCTCCCATTGCAGGTACCTATACAGCCAACGAGCCATATTTGACAGCTTGGAGCAAGCAATGCAGACTCGCGCGGCTGCACAGAAGTACCTAGAGACGAAACTTGTGAACGCCTGCGACGAGTTTATTCAAAACTCATTGCAACCGAGTAACGTGTGCAAAGTCTTAGACTACGTGATAAAGGAAGGTGATCTCGGAACGTTAGACGACATCATCGACGAGTTTCTTGCACACGAGGCGGTGGGTGTATTGGCGTCGGAGGCGTTCGTCGCAGCGTCAAGAGAAACCATTTTCAGAATACTGAGGAGCCCCCGCTTGGTGGCCCCCGAATTGTACATCATCGATAGAGTGTCTACATGGGCGCTTGCCCGATGTAGGAGAGGTCCCGCCAAAATTCCTGCAACCGCGCTGCAGGAAACCATGAGGCCCTTTTTGTCGGAGCTTAGATTTCTGACACTGACAGTCGAACAGTTTGTGGCGGGGCCGGCCGCGTGGAACATTCTGACCGAGAGAGACGCCTTGGCTATTGTCAGCAACATTGTAGAACCAGGTTCGAAACCGCTGCCGGCAGGCATTTGCACCAAAATAAAACCACGTGAGGATTACTAGCGATCGCTAGACGTTTTTTGCAGTTTAATTGTAATAAACCTTTGTTTTTCTATATGAGAACAATTATGCTGAAAAGGTTGCAAATGTTTTGCTGTGCGTACTGTATATGATCCTTGAAACTCATTTCGTTGCATGCCAATAAATGAGCAAATACGTATATACCCCCTCGATTTTGCAGATTTAGTTAGTTGAACTAAAGGATATACCCGGTGTTTCTGGGAATACACAACCATAAAAATAGGGTGTTCGAGCAGAAAATGACTCTTCTCGGAAACGAACTTCCAGTCACTGCGTACGTCGGGGATTGCAAAAGGCATACTAATTAGCAAAATAATTGTCTAAAATTTACAAATTAGTATGTTTTTGGGATCCCTGACGTCCTCCGCGGCTGGCGGTTTCTTCTCAAGAAGTGTTCCTTTAAAACAATATCTTCTGGTTCCTGAAGAACATAATTGAGTTGAGGCTAGAAAAAAGAAAAAGAAAAAAATGTGCCTCTGTCTGCTTCGCTTGCGCATGGCAGACTTAAACCAATCTAAAATAAATAAATGGGGTAGTGTACCAAGAAAAGTTACTTTTTGTAGAAAAAGATGAAATTGCGGAAAAAAAAAGAATAAAAAGATAAAGAAGTGAAGAAGGTAGGAACTAGCGCCACCACAGCCCCGGGAACGGACCCGGTTTGTCAGCGGCTTTTATTTAATATATATGTTGTTGTTGTTGTTGTTGTTTCTATTTAGTCTCGCACTTGTTCTTCGCCTGTGTTTATTTAAAATGACACTCTGTCCGCGTCACTGTTGTGTGCTGCCGGCATCCCGAAAATGCCAGTGACAAGATCCGCGGCTTAGTCTGTTGAACTTAAAGGATGTGAGAAACTAGATGAAGACAGAGTGCAGGTTGCGCGTCCCGGGGTGGGGTAGTCCATCTCTCTTAACTAACGTGTATGTAAGGAGTTAGGAGGGAAGAGGTTAGGTAATATGGGGAGGACTGCTCACGGGGACTGGTCAAGTAGGTGTCGAGAGCATTGGGATGACCCTCGCACACGTCACAGGATGGGTAGCCGCGACGTTGTTCAACATTGTGTCAATTGGATGGCGTCGCTGGCAAAGGTGAGTGAGGCCTGTTCGATGAGGGCGAGTCATGGCGAGAGAAGGAAGGGGGCGGGGCAAGGAGGGTGCGTGCATCCTGGCGCAAGTCGCTCAGGATCGCGCCGCGCTGTTTTTTGCGTTCTGCATGGTGTGTCTTAGGACGAAAAGTATCCGGCCATGGTGTGGGGGCGCTCGGCATTGCTGCTTCACGAACAAGGGTATCAGCTTACTCATTAGCCGAGATACACGGGTGACCTGGCACGTGGCATGGATCTGGTGTGGGTGGGTATTCTGCGCGAAAGCCCAGAGGGCACTTTGGCTATCACTTCAAGTAGTTATGATTGGGGTGTGTGGGAGAGGCGGGGAATGGCTCGAGTGTTGGTAAGGACTTCAGCGCAGGCACTTAGCCAGGGGGGAGGCCCTTGGGGCCCGGCCCCCCCCCCCCCCCGCCCCCGCCCCCGCCCCCCCCCCCCGAAATCTTCCGTTTGGCTGGGACCTCCTCTCCCCCCTCCCCCTCATACAGCATTTTGTCATGAGCGCCCCCCCCCCTCCCCCCCCCCCCCCCCGAAACAAAATTCTGGCTACGTGCCTCCTTCAGCGCCAGTGGGGCATATAACTGCCGTGTGGTGACGCCGACAATGCTGGGGTGGTTCCGAACGCGGTATAAGCAGTGTTCACATAGTTGTGTATGTGGGGGAGTTGTGAGGTGGTCGGCTCTGGTTTGCCGGTGTCTTTGGTGAGTTTTTGGACTCATAATTAGGGGCATCGGCCGAATATTTAGTTGCGGGATGACACGGTGGAGGGGTGGGAGGTAGAATAGGCAGGTTCTAGACGTCGTATCTACGTAAAGGATGTTCCGGCCTTGATGACCGGTGCGGAAGCAATGTTGTTGAGCCTCCCCAAGTGCAGGAGTTCTTCGTTAAGGGTGTTGTGTAGGGAAGCCGCTTAGACAAAAATACTTTGTGCATACCGAGGTACTCCCATCTCAATGCGGTGGCATTTGCGAAGCTCGGCTTTGAGACGGCGGCTTTGGCTGTTGGTGAGTGGCGTAGGGGAGGCCGTACATTACGCTGGAGTAATGGTTTTCTGTGAGATTTTTTACAGTTCATCGCGAAGACTCGAACGACTTTGGCTGACACAGATAATCATGTGGGCGTTCTGCCCAACCAGGGTTAGGTTGTGTCACTACTTGTCAGTGCCCCCGCCGTCTTGTTGCCATATAAACCCTCAACGAGCGAAGCGTTGCGGTCTGCATTGGATGTGCAGACGGCTGATTATGAACAGGATACCGTAATATTGTTCGCTATATATAGCCTCGCTAAAGTCACTATCTATAGGTTTGAAATCGGATTAAATCTCGGAGCACCGAGTATTTATAAACCGGACTTATTCGTGGTGAGCCACCGCCGCAAAAAGAGGTTTCAATTGAGTACGATGTTCTAAGAATACCAACGAAATACAATGTCTGAGCACTCAACATTTAAAATACCTGGTCATATCAAGAAAATGTAGCGACTCTTACGTCTTAAACGGTACCAAATATTGCAAAAGGACGGAGTCCTTTACTCGGAAATTATGAAAGGGATTGGTAAGCCGCATACCATTTGTTGCAAAATTGAATTTCGAAGAGAGCGCCTGCTACAAACAGTAGTTTTCTACGGAAACCGATTTACAGAAATGTTAATCATCGTACAACCATCCCGAATTGTGTTTCAATGCAAGAATTATTTCTTAAAAAAAACAAAAAAAAAAACAGAAAACATATAAGTGTTTCGGAACACGACCGCTCATGTATGGAATTTAATTGCGATATGCAAATGTAAGTAAAAAATAAATTTCCAATATTTTGCATCAGGAGACTGCCCAATCCTGGGTCATATGTACTTTAATATTAAACTATTCATGCATGATCGCTTTTTCTTTGTACTGCACGGGAATTACGTACTAAATGTAGTTAATATGAAATTAACAATGAGAGTGTGCTTAACAGGAATTAAAGATTTATTAGAGGTGAATATCTAATACTATACACTTTTCAAGAGAGTAACGCAAGCTTTGTGCTTAGGTAATTATATAATTTTGTAAATTAAAATACTGCCGCGTGCACGGCCGAGTGGAAACGCTTCTTCGTATTTCTATACCAATTGGCGTTTACACTTGCCCCAAAATGAATGTCCGAAATACCGAGAGGACAACACGGCCTTTTCGAGTCAATCTCTCCCTAGCGCGATGAACATTCTACATCGAATGCTCGAGATACCGGATGCAGTAGATAAGGAGCCCAGTGTGATCCCGTAGGCTCACTCCGACGCTCTCGCACATTCACCCTTGCCAGCTGTGAGCCCGACACCGCGACGCTCGGTGCTGCCTTCTTGACGCTCGTTCTTTCTTCTGTTTGTGGCAAAGTTCGCCCATTAAACTTTTATTTTTAGTTTTACGTTTGTCTATCCTTTTTCAATTGCGAAAATATTGTTAGTACATTCAACTGCGATAGATTCATGTAATATTCACAATAAAGATACGTTGTAAGCGTTGCAAGACAAGTTTAGGAACACCTGTCATAACATTCGGTTGGATAATGAATGATACGTGGGTAAAAATGTTTTTTCAGTACGTTTTTTTTAATAATAGGCTTTTGGGCTTTAAAACTCGATTTATCTTTTTATACTTCATTTTAACTGAAGATGTCCTAACGTTTCACACTGGGCCAGCAATTTGAGCTAAATCGAGGAGCTCTAATGTGGGAAGCATTCTCGTAGATGGGATTGGCATTATGTCTCTTTGTTCGCTAGGACGTCCTTACGCAGTTTTCGTCATTTCAAAATCCTTCGTTTATAAGCGTTATTTACTCTACATTACTTCTGTACAAATATAAGTTCGTGTACAAAAGAAACCTTTCTTCTACTCTAGACATATGAATACGCTCTGAAATGGCTTAGCTCCACGGGAAAGATACACGGTATATCTCGCTGGCATGATGGCTCTTCTAAGAGCCTGAGCGGCTCGTTCTTTCAATGCAAAACAAATTCGACCGTTCTTTTTTTTTTATTTCTTATTTTGCAGGGGTTGGGGTGACGTCAGAACTGCGGGCTCAAGTAAGCTCTGATCAAAGGATAGTGGGTAGACCTCAAGGTAAGCTGCCTTGAGGCCTGCCCTCTATCCTACAATGAGAGCCAGTCGGAGCTCGGCGATCATACGTCACCACGACCCCTGCAAAAAAAAACAAAAAAAAAAAACAGAACTTGCGCTCCGCATACACTCCGTTTCAACCCAAGCCCTACCACAGCCAGCCGACGCAGCCATCGGATGGAGCAAAGCAATGCAAAAAGTGCTTTGTCGCGACGCTTACCATCTTTGTGAGTTCACTTTCACCAACTCAGTCAACCTCGCACAGTGAACGCGGCGCGATTCTGCGATCTTTTTTCTGCGTGATTGGTTTATCCGGTGATAGCAAACGCCCGACGAGCGCCGTGAGGATGCATTTTTGAAGCTGTCTGAGTGGCTTCATGGGATCGTAACGTTGGCTGTGGTCGGACGTGAAACAGAGTGTATCAGCCAAGGAAACGTTGTGCGTGGCAAAGCCCGGGCGTCTCATTATCGCTCCGCGCCAATCCGATTGCAGCATTAGGTGATAAAAGGGACGAAAAGAAAAAATCACGAGGTGCAAAAATAATAAGCCATGACCCGCTTTTTTTTTTTCTATACTTCGCTTCAGCTTCGGTCCGAGCGCGTCCGATGTTATGAGCGGAAGGGCCAATCAAACAGCGCAAAAAGCGAAACGTCATGGCGTGCTCTCTGCAGTTGATAGGACCAGGTGGTATTCGCCGTGTCTCTGTGCGCGCTCCTCCGCCGGCTAGTACTATCAAGAGCAGAGAGCACGCCATGACGCTGCGTTTTTCGCGCTCTTTGATTGGCCCTTCGGCTCATAACATCGGCCGCGCTCGGACCGAAGCTGAAACAAAGTATAGCTGCCGGTGAATATATTATTTTTCAGTTCTCAAGCCTTATAGCCAACCGGCAACAGCCAGGCGGCGCCGGCAGAGTGAGAGCCCACGGTCATACCCTGTCTCGTTGTGA